GTTCTGTGTGCGTGCTCTGTGCCGTGCTCAACCTATTTTCTGTGCATTGGGTTGCCCTGTTATTCACCTATTGCGATCCGAATCAGCCGCAAGCATGCTGTCTAAGTACTGTGTGCCTGCCGGAAATAATATCCAGACTTTTCGGAAGCAAGGCTGCAACCAGGGCTCCTCGGATCGTGGCTCGGACGTCGTCGGCTTCCACGAACCGCGTCCGCGAGCCTCACGTCGTTTGCTTGGTTCCTTTATGTTTCCGGCGAAGGAACCCCCAGCCGTGGCCTCAGCCTTACATGACTTAGCTGGTGAAAAACAAACTACGACAACGCGGCGTCTTTGAAATGCGATTACTACGATCGGTGGTTTCTAAACCTCAGTGAGCCCCCTTCAATTGTGAGCTCTGCGTGTGTGTAGGCGTTGTAAAGAGAGCTCTTCGATACGAACGCTCTTACCTTCTCAGTGTGCAAACTCTTCGAATGGTCATTCAACAGGCGGCGCTGCGAGACGCGAGCCTTCGGCGTTGCTCCAACTCGCAGTGTGGTTCTCAAAATGGGCACTTACTTCTTTACATACATAGTGTGCAACGCTGTCAAAGGTACTGAAGTCGTGCTCATTAAAAAGCAGAAAGAAAAACATGTGTCACTCCGCGCGCTTCTTGGACGAGTGGTACAAGGCGCTGCTCTGGCGATACCGACGTCTCGGTGGCGGTAGTTCGAACCCATTTGACGCGCGAAGTTATTTTGTTTGTAGCCGTACATTTTGTGTAAGATTGTGCGCATCGCCGAAGTGCATATTTCAATTCTTCCTTTCTTCTTGCTTTTTATCTATAAGTCGCCGCGAGGCCACATTTCTACCATCAGCTCTGCCGCTTTGCAAGTGTCATTTGCCTCCAGCACCGAGTTATATTTTTCTTTCGCGTAGCGTGGAATGAGGAATCGCACTGATAGCAGCCTTGTCCCAAAATTTATAATAGGACGTTAATCGACAAGAGTTGTGGCCTGTACCGATTATTTTGAAATAGCTGTCAAGCGTAGGAATCTCCCTCTCGGGGTACTTGCGATGCACCTTCAGGCAAATGGCGTTGTGTGTGAATTCATCATGCTTGACGGTCCCCATGTTTGAGACTTCTATGTGTCGAGGTCTTCGCTTCGGGGACACCACCTTGCCAGGTAGACACTGCGCCTTGCACTTCGCAACTGTACGGGCGCACACCCCGGTGTCGTTACTGATCATCTCCAGGACTTCACGACCGACGTCTCCGGGAAACGCGTTCTTGTACTCGCGTACACATTGACGATCACCTGTTTGCACTTTTTCGAGGTCTTCGCACAACGAAACTTCAAAAATATCCGAGCAGGAGAGGTACTTGAGCTTGCTGCGTAAGACACCTTCTTCTCAAAACCAGCCAGTGCCACAAAACCCGAAAACCCGCAGCGGCTGCCGCACGGACGAAAACTTTTAAAGTAGTTTACATTACCTTTTTCTTTTTATTAAAGAAAAAAAAATTGGTGCTCCGTCGAAATCATAACGCCACTATCGGTTACTAGCTCCGAGGAAACACATTTTTCGGATTTTTAAAATTTGTTTTTCAGGGGACGCATTATTTTATGGGGCGAACGTAGGCACGGTCGGCGATGCAAACCGGTGCGCTAGTTTTGACTGCGGTGCATGCTATGTATGAAACGGAGCACAGTCTTGAATAAGCTGCTGCACCGTCACTGTTAAACCGTTCTTGTAAAACATGGTAAGTTTCCTGGTATATTCAAACCATTTTTTAGACTGCCGGTTTGTTTTTCATACGTCAATCATACTGTATTTTCGGTAGGGTTGACATCTGGTTCCTACTCCTAGGACTGCATTTGGCCAAAAATAAGTGTTCGGCGATGCGTCGTTTATTTTTGCGGCTCTAAAGAACTATTTGGTTGGAAGGGGGGACGAGGAGGGGCACTCTATTTTTGTCGTGACACTCAGGAACAATAAAAACACATGCTTCTTAATATGATACAATGGTTTAAAATATAAGTTCTTTCTGTAACCGTCCCAGATTCTAAAAAAAGTACGCGAGTGGAAATGTTGGGAGATTTCTTGTCCCTTTTTTAGTGCAGTGTAGCAGTGTTCATAGGAGCCATTTGAAACCGCTCCTATTTTAGGGTCGACGTCACGGACAAAAAGCACCTTTTGCAATTTCTCCTAATTCAAAATATATCTCGAAACGTAAGCGTTGAATTAGTTATCTTTCGAGGGAATTTTATTTTGTGGCGCACGTTCTCAAGAGGACAGTGTTCGTATCAATTGAAATTAAAACCCCTGATAATATTTGGAGTATCTCAATAAAACACATATCAAAAATCTATTGCCCCACTCTTTCAAAAACCAAACCAAGCCCCATATTTATGTCACAAAATTCATGTTAAGTCTTGTGAAATCTTGTATGCCAGTAAGTATGTTCAACGCACCGAATTACGCGTGTTTGTGAATCGCTGCACGCTAAAAATAATTGACACAACAAAATAGTGCCCGACATCGAGTTTTGTAAGTTAAGGAAAGGGAGGGGGTAGTGACGCACCTGTCTTTTGAAATATTAAATAATATATTTAACTATTCTTTAATATTTTAAATATATTAACCCACATATTGCTAAAGATTATAGTCTAGAAGTTCACTTTCCTACATGCGTTTACTATTCAAGGTAAAACAAATAAATGTGCGAGAGATAAATGGCTATAGTCGCGGTCAACGTTTTGTGGCATAAGAGAAGAAGGGAAGAAAGCGCGTGGACAGCTTCGATAGCGCTCGATGTGGGCGAGGGTATTATCGCCTATTGCTTTGGCTGTATTGCCACAAAAACCTGACCCCGAGTATACCACTGACTAGAAAATTATTTATGCTCCGTTTCACGTTAAGTGTGAGCGTGAAGGAGGCTGCAAGAGCGAGCTCCGGGTTTTCACTAGGGAGTTTTCGTAGATCGTTTTCGCCGTCCCGCAACGCCCTCCGCAACCCGCTACGATAGCGGGAACTCCACAGTCAAGGCTATCGGCGCGCAGGCGCAGTAGCAACTTTTTCGTTGCGGAACGCCTAGCGGAGGGGGCAGCGCGGTCTACGAAAACTCCCTACTGTCCCTGTCAAGCACGCACGCTCGTGTAGCGCAACCACTGTTCAAGGTCACACCCTCGCACTTGTAGCTTCAACCTCGCTTGCTATGCGGAGGGCAAGTTCGTCTGCTTCTTGCGCAGGGGGTAGTGGTGACGTCAGAACGCCGAGCCCTGATTGGCTGATCGCGCCCCCCTATCTGAGCGTCGTCTCCTCCTTTGCAACGTCGTCTGCTCGCAACGTCGTCTGCATCTGTCTTACCTTTCCTGCGGCTTTCGGAAGTGCAGATTCACGAAACGATCTTACGCCAAAATGTGCGTAAGACGTAAGTTAAGAACGAATTCGTATTCACGAAACAAAATTTTCGTAAGTTTTGCGCAAGTTACGACGAAATCCTACGACAGCTCCGAAGCTACATGTCTACGCACTTCTTACGATCAAATCAGCATGGCCGACAGCGTCGCGGTCGCGACGACCCACGGATGTTTATTTTTCTACGTGCGCTTCTCACGCGTCCCGACTTGAAGCAGCAAGAAAAAAAGTAAAAAGCACTTGAAACAGACCACGACGAACAAGAACGCTGGATCCAGAAACACCCGGGAAAAGCTCCAACGACCACGATTCCAACGAACACGACCAAGCGAGTACGGCAGTTAGGCCTAGCAGGTACTCCGCGACTCGGCGACCGTCTGCCCACGACCGGCTGGCGTGCTGAATCGAATATGCCCGCGCGACCCTTGTGAACCCTTCCCGTATTGTACTTTGATCGCTGACCTCAATTTTAGATTAAGAGGTCAATTTCTTCCTCTTGTTATCTCCTTGTTTCTCGAGGCAACGGTGACTCTCGCCGGTAAAAAAGCGGTGAATCTCCGACAGACGCAGGAAAGGTAAAGCAGCCATCGCTTTGACTAGCAGACGTAAAGCAGACGACGTTAACTGCACCAACTCGCCGACGCCGTTGAAGAATCAGGGGTCTCGCCGCACACGAAAGGAGGGAAAAAGTATTTGGGAGGGAACTGGCGGACACTAAGCATCCTCACCTCTCGGTTCTTAGCAAACAAACCTCGGCGCCTCGGGACACCTCGCCAGTGAGTCCTTTGACTTCCCTCCTTGATGCACGTCTGCTAGTTGTTAGACAAAAACAACGTACCGCTCGAGTTATTTCGTGTGCCCTCTCTGAAAGCCGAAGTCGAGCTCGCTCGTAAAGACCTGCACTTCCGAAGGTCGCAGGAAAGGTAAGACAGACGCAGACGACGTTGCAAAGGAGCAGACGACTCTCGGATAGGGGGTCGCAATCAGCCAATCAGGGCTCGGCGTTCTGACGTCACCGCTACTTCCTTTCTCATGCGCAGAAGACAAAAATGAGCCCACTTGCGAGGCGTATTAAAGTTAAACAGAGTATAGTGTGCATACAGTGTTAAAAATTATATATATGTGTAAGATTTACGAACATTCGTGCCGCCCCATTGAGATGCAAGATGTCTTCATATTCTTGCATTTAACGGCATTTTTAAACTTTCAGTCTAGTGTCTACAGGATGCATGGAACAAAGATAACTTACAACAAAATAACAAAAGAAACTGAAGATACAAAGAAAATAAACGTTAGTTTAGTCAATTTACGAGCAAACTGATAAACATATTTCCTTGGGAAAGCAATAAATATACAATTATATACTTGAGCATTCGCACTCCGTTGAATAAACAAGTCTCATACAGAAAATGGCGAGGATAGCAAGGTAGAAAAAGTCGCATTTAACCTTACGGTCGCCTTATGTTCCCTTCGTTTTTAACTGATACAGCGGCGATCTTTTTTTTTTTTTTTTGACCGTGTGTTACATTAGATTTAAATTAAAAATATCTCAATAAGTTGATTTCAATGCTATTGATGACTTTCATGCTAATCTCCCATTTCAGGAGCGTGTTCCTCGATTACCACCAGAGAGCGGAACACATGCATGAAACTTATCGAAAGCGTAGGGCAGATCGCATGCGGTATGACAGGACAAGGTGTAAGTATTTCAACGTAAACAACATATTACAATTAAAGTAAATTTATATCTTTTTAATTACGCAAAAGACGACGTTTTTATTTTGTGCCGATCCCCAGAAAGTTTTTTTTTCTTTTGTAGAAAAGACGTGTCCTAAAATATCTTTATGACATGTTGCCCAGCACACACCATGTAACGAGATTGAAATTGTGCAACTAAAATTCTTTAGCTAATCAGGGTAATTTTAGTTAGCACAAAATGAATTGCGAACATTATATCTACTTATGTAAAGTTTACTTCGAATTAATATTGCTTCGAGTCAAATTTAAGGTAAATTTCAAATTCGAATTAAAATTATTGCCTAAGTCATAGTAAACAGTTCAAAATATAATTTCATAAGAAAGAATTTTTCTTTCATTTTCTGGCGAATAATATGCATTGGCTGTTTTCATCTTTCGTAATATTTTATAAAAACACAAACTAAAAAAATGATTAGTCACTATTACATGCACGTGTTGCAATTGAATAATTTATCTGGCATTGTTCTAGGCACTATGGTAGTCGTGAAATTTTAACATAACTTAATCTATTTTCAGCCAAAATAGAACAGCTATCTGACAACTATCAACGCCTCCAGATTACCTTGACGGCAAACTGTGAAAAATCCTTGCATTGCCATACCCCCATCACTTTAGTCCAAACTTCCTGGTGACAATTGTATCTCGAAAAAGAGCAATGGGTAATTTAGCGGCACATCACCAGGGAAGACGTTCAGAGAAAAGAAGGAGAGTTCAAGATGTTCGTGCATTCTTTCCCTCGTTAACAGCATTAGTTAAGGAACGTTGGTGATGAGAAAGGATAGGTAAACATTCGGGTAGTTTGGTATGAAGTCGTGTTCAAGTGAATCACATGAACACGCGAAATAGACACATGAACCAGTGTAAACATCTATTTATGAATAAAATGAGTCTACCAAATTACTTCAAGCGCAACTGTAGTTGGTATTCAGCACCCGAAGGCACCGCTGTATGGGCACTTTTTACGCTGAGGTTATTAAGTCATATTGTCACGAATAACAAATTACCAGCAACTTATGTGGTTAAGTAGTCTAAATATTTAATAGGGTGAACTAAAACTCCCCCCGCCCCCCCCCCAAAAAAAAAAAAAAACAAAAAAAACGAAGATTAGCGTCGCAAGGGTCAATGGCGGCGTAACAGCCGGGCAGAACGTTGGGACGAGACTGACTCCGTGTGGCATGGGGCGGCTTCTTTTTGAGCTTCCCGTGAAGCCTAGATTATTCTTCCGCAATCGTTCCCAAACTACGCATTCTAAACATTAACAAGCTAGACGGTTCTTCAATATCCCTTATATTCTACTTAAACCACCTAAAATGAAACAAAATCGGCAGAAATGCTCAAAGAAATTCTGAGAAATTTGAGCAGAGGTTATATACAACAAAACATAATGAATAAAGCATCTCATAACTTTTCCGTGGAGTGAATATTCCTGAAATACCTCTTTTTTTAATGCAAGCAGGTCAGTAAGCATTTCCACGGAGGACGGGCGCCGGAAGGGGGAATAACGACAAAACCATCTTGTTGTTGGGCATTCACATTGTGTATGGAATGGCAACGGAACAGTGCGCTTGTGACCCGGTGGCACGGTAAGACGACTGCGTGTCAAGAAAGGCGTTGCAGGCGGAAGAACGGAATCGCAGCCTGTGTGCGTTCACAGGTCTTCAATGCCGATGGCAGGAGGTCCCAGGGCGTCCAAAGTGCGTAACAGCACGCCAGCCGCGTGGCGCAAATGGGGGAGAACGAAGGGGGGGGGGGGGGGGGGGGGGGGGGTGACAAGCGCCCCGTGATACACCCGCGTCCCTCAAAATGCCGGCGATTTTCGGTTGCTAGCGCTGTGTTCCCATCCCGCGGCCCCGTTGCGAACTCTATAAATGTGTGCTCCAATGACGTCCAAGGTCAGCTGATGTCCCAGGGCACTAATGCTGACACATAGAAGACGGCCTAGATTCTGCTCATCACACGGCTCATCAACTAGGATTGCTCGGCTGCTCTCTTACGATTCCGGTGGATAACTGATGAATCCCTACGCTTCTAACGTTATGTTTCTTTGATAAATGGGTTTACTCAGCTATGTGCTATCGTAATCCCAGTTAGCGTAAATACGGGAGCACGTGACTTCCGGTACTATCAGCGCACTCTAACGACGCGGCAATGAAATGCAGCGCCTCCCCAATGGTACACAGTTGCGTGTGTCGTTATTGGTTGCGTCCAGTGGTTTCCGCAAGCGCACAACTCAGGGCCCTAACCGGGTTCCTCCTGCTACACATCGGAACGAAGCAGAACGCATCGGGAAAACTCTCAGCGAAAAGAACGTGCATTCTGCTTTGCGCTTGTGTAGGGAAGACCTTTTTACTGGGATAATAAACAGTGATTTACAGCTCTTCTCTATAGAATTGTATCCGTTTTCCTCTGAATTAATTCTGAGAAGCATCAGATGTCTGAATCGGGAGGGCCGGCGCTCCAATCGCCACTACCACCCGAGCAGTCGACATGAGAAGCGGCCATGTCGGGCGTATCACATGTGAAGAGCATCTAATTTTACAACTATAAATATACCCAGCAAAGCGAAATACCGTTCGAATGTAACGTTTATAGCTCGCCAACGAGATAAATAACAACACCTCCCCGCGGTGCGCGTTGTTGCCGCTCAGGCTGCCACTATCAAATGTATGATCGCCGCCGTACATGTATGGCGATGAACGTCGAAGTTTGAAGGACCAAGAAGATCATCTCTTTACTTCCGGAATCTAATTTTCTTCCGTCCCGTCTAAACGCCGACAGTGTAACTAAAGCGTGACCGGGCCCGCCCGTGTCAAGGAAGTATGCGAGTGTGTGATGAGTTTGTTTCCAAGGAAAGGAAGGGGGACGGCGCTCGAGCTCCACGAACTGAGGCTTAATTAACTTTAACTAGCATTGGTTGCAAATTATACTGCTTTAAGTACCTGGTACAGCGTCAAGAAATAATTATTTTAAAAAGGAGCAGCAATCACCTGCAAGCGTGTGCATTCTGTCTGTATATATACCTTCGCAAATATGTGAAGAAAATGAAGTGTACAAGAGACCCCCCCCCCCCCCCCCCCCCACCACTTTGTCCCCTGCGTTTCCTGTGCTTCCTGCTCGGAATCCTTTTTTGTTTCCCAACTGGGTTTTCCCTACCTGTACAGTACACTGGAATACTCCTCGGTCCCCACAACGGGCTTCTGGGGCAGGAGCAGAGCTTCTCCTTCCCACAGTGCGCTATTTGTGGAGTTTTCGTCATACCTAAGTTCTGTGTTTAGATATGTCACCAGAATCTAAGCCTTCTTTCATGAGCCATTGTTTTTGCATTTTTTCGTTCCTTTACGTGACAGAACTTTTTTTAAGGTGAACTTTGCATATACCAAATACGCCTGTCGTCTACAGTGATAAATATAAATTCTTCATAAGACTCGATTTTTAGCAATGGGACTATATCTGCACTTTTTTTTTCTCTGTATGTGCGCTCGTCTTGTAAACAGTATACGTGAGTTCCTCATTGAAGACCGCACAAGTTGCGCAATTAGAAAGCACATTTGAAAATAGTTGAACTATATTTCCAAGTACTTTTGAAATCAAAGGTATTCTTCATGGAAGATACCTGAGTACTTCTCTGCAAACTTTATGAAACAGGTTTTCATAAGTTATCTCATACACGCTTGTCGGGTATATTTCCAGCACAGCACCCTGTATCACTGTATATGTCTTTTTTTTTGTGGAACATTTATTAATCTAATACGACGAAATTAGGTATATATGTGTATTGTCACACAAATATAATTATTACAAAAATTGAGCTGTTGGATATTGGGGCATGAAGAAATAAATTTTTAAAAATATTCCCTCGCAGAACCTTACATGATCTAGGTTAATGGCACGTATCAGTCAAATTCTTGAAGGACTGGTCGCAATGCGCAGCAGCTTTGCATTCCCCAAATACATTTATCGAGCTGAAGGTCAATCTATAAAAGTTTTTGAAACGCTTGCTTTTACAAAAAAAAAAAATTGCGGTGGCTTAGCTCGGCTAGGCCAGGATATACATAGCGTGAGCTTATGCGCACAAAATGAGAGGTGCTATCAAGCGGCTCCGGTGCAGCGTCAGACTTGGCAACTGCGCAACGGAGGCGGACAGCTGGGCACGCGGCGGCCCCAGCGCGTCTGCCGTGGCTACGACGTCACTCCTCTGGAATGCGCAGACCGGCGAGGCGCGCGCGGCGGCGGCGGCTCCGGCGCGCCAGCTGTGCGCCGTGTGACGTCACTGCTCCTCGCGCTTGCGCAGCACGGATCTTAGACAGTCACGCAAAACTGGTCAACTTCGGCCAGTGTAGCTCACGCTACAAAAAACGTCCACTCTATAAAAATCCCTCGGATGGAATTATTCAAGTCATCTATCTCACTCGAGTAAGGGCATATTTTGAATCAGCGTCTTGTCAAGAGTCGTGTTCAATAGACCGATATCACCAGCCAGATTCGTTACGCCGGCGCTGGCGCAATGCATTGAGGGAACGTTAGTTTTTGTGCACTTGGAACAACCTCGCTGAAGCACTGCGCGTTCAGAGCATGACACGGCACCGGGAGTCTGATGAACTGCCTGCCTCATCTGAACTAAAGTTTTGCCGGCGTCACGCTTCCGCTGAACGTTTGGTGTATCGCTCTATTGGTGCTTTACTGAGTGAACACAAACCCTCGTGGAACGCTGACGCAGCGTTCGACTGCGTGAGCCGAGCGCTCCGCTAGATCAAAAACAAACTGTTCATGTTGTTGCTGTCCGCATGGGTTCGGTTCTCAACTTAGCCGGAAAGGACGCAACGGCTAGGTTTCCCCGACAGGTAACGGTGGTTACTGACGTGTCCTGGAGTGCTGGATGTTCTGACATATCCATGTACCTCCATTGTTTGACCGTGCCTCGGGCAATCATTTTGGACGCCT